TAGACTCAGGTGAAGAGTGTTGATGTTGGACTCAGGTGAAGAGTGTTGATGTTTGACTCAGGTGAAGAGTGTTGATGTAGGACTCAGGTGAAGAGTGTTGATGTTAGACTCATGTGAAGAGTGTTGATGTTGGACTCAGGTGAAGAGTGTTGATGTTGGACTCAGTGAAGAGTGTTGATGTTTGGACTCAGGTGAAGAGTGTTGACGTTGGACTCGGTGAAGAGTGTTGATGTTGGACTCAGGTGAGAGTGTTGATGTTGGACTCAGGTGAAGAGTGTTGATGTTGGACTCAGGTGAAGAGTGTTGATGTTGGACTCAGGTGAAGAGTGTTGATGTTGGACTCAGGTGAAGAGTTTTGATGTAGGACTCAGGTGAAGAGTGTTGATGTTAGACTCAGGTGAAGAGTGTTGATGTTGGACTCAGGTGAAGAGTGTTGATGTTAGACTCAGGTGAAGAGTGTTGATGTTGGACTCAGGTGAAGAGTGTTGATGTTTGACTCAGGTGAAGAGTGTTGATGTTGGACTCAGGTGAAGAGTGTTGATGTTGGACTCAGGTGAAGAGTGTTGATGTAGGACTCAGGTGAAGAGTGTTGATGTTAGACTCAGGTGAAGAGTGTTGATGTTGGACTCAGGTGAAGAGTGTTGATGTTAGACTCAGGTGAAGAGTGTTGATGTTGGACTCAGGTGAAGAGTGTTGATGTTAGACTCAGGTGAAGAGTGTGATGTTAGACTCAGGTGAAGAGTGTTGATGTTGGACTCAGGTGAAGAGCTGTTGATGTTGGACTTCAGGTGAAGAGTGTTGATGTTATGACTCAGGTTGAAGAGTGTTGATGTTAGACTCAGGTGAAGAGTGTTGATGTTGGACCTCAGGTGAAGGAGTGTTGATGTGGACTCAGGTGAAGAGTGTTGATGTTGGACTCAGGTGAGAGTGTTGATGTTGGACTCAGGTGAAGAGTGTTGATTTGGACTCAGGTGAAGAGTGTTGATGTTGGACTCAGGTGAAGAGTGTTGATGTTGGACTCAGGTGAAGAGTGTTGATGTTAGACTCAGGTGAAGAGTGTTGATGTTGGACTCAGGTGAAGAGTGTTGATGTTGGACTCAGGTGAAGAGTGTTGATGTTGGACTCAGGTGAAGAGTGTTGATGTTGGACTCAGGTGAAGAGTGTTGATGTTGGACTCAGGTGAAGAGTGTTGATGTTGTACTCAGGTGAAGAGTGTTGATGTTGGACTCAGGTGAAGAGTGTTGATGTTGGACTCAGGTGAAGAGTGTTGATGTTGGACTCAGGTGAAGAGTGTTGATGTTGAGACTCAGGTGAAGAGTGTTGATGTTGGACTCAGGTGAAGAGTGTTGATGTTGGACTCAGGTGAAGAGTGTTGATGTTGGCTCAGGTGAAGAGTGTTGATGTTGGACTCAGGTGAAGAGTGTTGATGTTGGACTCAGGTGAAGAGTGTTGATGTTGGACTCAGGTGAAGAGTGTTGATGTTAGACTCAGGTGAAGAGTGTTGATGTTGGACTCAGGTGAAGAGTGTTGATGTTGGACTCAGGTGAAGAGTGTTGATGTTGGACTCAGGTGAAGAGTGTTGATGTTGGACTCAGGTGAAGAGTGTTGATGTTGGACTCAGGTGAAGAGTGTTGATGTTGGACTCAGGTGAAGAGTGTTGATGTTGGACTCAGGTGAAGAGTGTTGATGTTGGACTCAGGTGAAGAGTGTTGATGTGGACTCAGGTGAAGAGTGTTGATGTTGGACTCAGGTGAAGAGTGTTGAATGTTGGACTCAGGTGAAGAGTGTTGATGTTGGACTCAGGTGAAGAGTGTTGATTTGGACTGTGGTGAAGAGTGTTGATGTTGGACTCAGGTGAAGAGTGTTGATGTTGGACTCAGGTGAAGAGTGTTGATGTTGGACTCAGGTGAAGAGTGTTGATGTTGGACTCAGGTGAAGAGTGTTGATGTTGGACTCAGGTGAAGAGTGTTGATGTTGGACTCAGGTGAAGAGTGTTGATGTTGGACTCAGTGAAGAGTGTTGATGTTGGACTCAGGTGAAGCGTGTTGATGTTGGACTCAGGTGAAGAGTGTTGATGTTAGACTCAGGTGAAGAGTGTTGATGTTGGACTCAGTTGAAGAGTGTTGATGTTGGACTCAGGTGAAGAGTGTTGATGTTAGACTCAGGTGAAGAGTGTTGATGTTAGACTCAGGTGAAGAGTGTTGATGTTGGACTCAGGTGAAGAGTGTTGATGTTGGACTCAGGTGAAGAGTGTTGATGTTGGACTCAGGTGAAGAGTGTTGATGTTGGACTCAGGTGAGAGTCTTGATGTAGGACTCAGTGAAGAGTGTTGATGTTAGACTCAGGTGGAGTGTTGATGTTGGACTCAGGTGAAGAGTTGTTGATGTTAGACTCAGGTGAAGAGTGTTGATGTAGGACTCAGGTGAAGAGTGTTGATGTTAGACTCAGGTGAAGAGTGTTGATGTTGGACTCAGGTGAAGATGTTGATGTTGGACTCAGGTGAAGAGTGTTGATGTTGGACTCAGGTGAAGAGTGTTGATGTTGGACTCAGGTGAAGAGTGTTGATGTTGGACTCAGGTGAAGAGTGTTGATGTTGGACCAGGTGAAGAGTGTTGATGTTGGACTCAGGTGAAGAGTGTTGATGTTGGACTCAGGTGAAGAGTTTTTGATGTAGGACTCAGGTGAAGAGTGTTGATGTTAGACTCAGTGAAGAGTTTGATGTTGGACTCAGGTGAGAGTGTTTATGTTAGACTCAGGTGAAGAGTGTTGATGTTGGACTCAGGTGAAGAGTGTTGATGTTGGACTCAGGTGAAGAGTGTTGATGTGGACTCAGGTGAAGATGTTGATGTTTGGACTCAGGTGAAGAGTGTTGATGTTGGACTCAGTGAAGAGTG